CACCTGGGTGGCTTAGTCGGTTAAGCGTCCGACTTTCGCTTAGGTCATGATCTCGCGGTTCGTGGGTTCGAGCCCCGCGTCGGGCTCTGTGCTGACTGCCAGCTCAGAGCCTGGAGCCTGTTTCAGTCTGTGACTCCCTCTCTCTCTGACCCTCCCCCTGCTCACGCTGTCTCTCGCTCTCTCTCCTAGAAATAAATAAAAATATTAAAAAAAAAAAAAAAAAAAAAAACTCCTCTTGGGGCACCTGGGTGGCTCAGTCGGTTGAGCACCTCACTTTGGCTTAGGTCATAATCTCACAGTTCATGGGTTCGAGCCCTGCGTCCAGCTCTGTGTTGACAGCTAGCCGCCTGGCACCTGCTTCAGATTCTATGTCTCCCTCTCTCTGCTCCTCCCCCGCTTGTGCTCGGTCTCTCCAAAATAAGTAAAGAAATAAACATTAAAAATACACATAAAGTAAAAAACAAAACAAAAATAAAATCTCTTATAATAAAAGTTTTTTAAAAAAAGATGCAGAACAGCCTAAATAGCATGTTGTGCTTGTATTTGCACAAGAAACTTCGGAAGAATTCCAAAGAAACCAAAAGTGGTTACACAGGGATGGGAGGGATTTAGAGAGAAACTGTGATGAACTGAACAGTGAGAACAAGACTTTTTCTGTACGGCTTTTCAGTCTTTTAAACTTTGAAGCAGGTAGTTTAGAGTACTTATTCAAAAAATAAATAAGCATAAATCAATCAGGCTATCTCTCTCTAAAAAAGAAACTTAATTATTCTTTTTTAAGAAACCTAAGTTTCAGCTTCTGCACGGCAAAGGAAACAACCCACAAAACTAATAGGCAACCAACGGAATGGGAAAAGATAGTTGCAAACGACATATCAGATAAAGGGTTGATATCCAGAATCTATAAGGAACTCACCAAACTCCACACCCAAAAAACAAACAACCCAGTAAAGAAATGGGCAGAAGATATGAACAGATACTTCTCCAAAGAGGACATTCAGATGGCCAACAGACACATGAAACGATGCTCAGCATCCCTCCTCATCAGGGAAATACAAATCAAAACGACACTGAGATACCACCTCACGCCAGTCAGAGTGGCTAAAATGAGCAAATCAGAGAACACGAGATGCTGGTGAGGATGTGGAGAAACGGGCACCCTCCCACACTGTTTGTGGGAATGTAAACTGGTACAGTCCCTCTGGAAAACAGTGTGGAGGTTCCTCAAAAAATTAACAATAGAACTCCCCTATGACCCAGCAATAGCACTGCTAGGAATTTACCCAAGGGATATAGAAATGCTGAGGCATAGGAGCACACGGACCCCAATGTTCATAGCAGCACTCTCAACAATAGCCAAAACATGGAAAGAGCCTAAGTGTCCATCAACGGACGAATGGATCAAGAAGATGTGGTTTATCTATACCATGGAATACTACATGGCAATGAGAAACAATGAAATCTGGCCATGTGTAGCAACATGGATGGACTTTGAGGGTGTTATGCTGAGTGAAATAAGTCAGGCAGAGAAGGACAAATATATGTTTGCACGTATAGGAGGATTAGGAGGAACTTAACAGAGGACCAAGGGGGAGAAGAAGGGGGGAAATGGTGGGGGAAAGGGAGAGAGGCAAACCATGAGAGACTCTTGAATGCTGACAAAAACTGAGAACTGATGGATGTAGGGGGGAGGGGGGATGGGCATGGAGGAGGGCACCTGTGGGGATGAGCACTGGGTGTTATGTGGAAACTAATTTGACAATAAACTATTTGTAAAAAAAAAAAAAAGAAAAAGAAACCTAAGTTTCAACATGAAATCAGCTGTCCTCAGTAATTTCTGAAAAATTTCTTAATGTTTATTATTTTTGAAAGAGACAGAGACAGAGTGCAAGGAGGGAGGGGCAGAGAGAGGGGGAGACACAGAATCCGAAGCAGGCGCCAGGCTCTGAGCTGTCAGCACAGAGCCCAGCGTGGGGCTCGAACCCACAAGCCAGATCATGACCTGAGCCGGAGTGGGTCTGGACACTCAACTGACTGAGCCCCCCAGGCACCCCTGTTCTCAGTAATTTCTAAATGTTCCCATTTCAATGAGCATACAAAACTAAGGGGTTCCTCTAAAGATACAAAGGACAGCAATTTCTGCCAGGCAGTGTATCATCACAGGGCCAGGTGACAGCATCGTTTTCTGAAACTATTCCAGGGGTGGCAGAGTCTGAGACTTTCCAGAGTGTGAGAGGGCGGTTTCAGTTCAGCGGGTCACCTGGAGAAAGCTGACTCTGTTATCTGCTTTGTTCTACTATCAGTACGGAAGACAAGAAGGTTTCTCAAAACCACCCCAGCCTTGATTCCTCAACAAGGACAGCCCTTTGAGTTCTGTTTCAGTCCTGATGCAGAAGAGCCTCGTCTCCACAAGTCAATTCCCGGTGAAAGGCAGAGGCTGATGGCTCAAGAGGGAGAGCACTAACTGGGTGGATGACCTGGCCATGCTAATTTATTTCTCTGGACCCCCCACTTTCTTACCACTGACATGGGTGGGTCTTGGGCCAAGTTCTCTCAAAGGTCCCTTTCAGGTCTACACTACTATCATCCCACAAAAAGCCAGGTCAATTTAAAGATCAGATGAAGGGTGGGAGATGCCTCTCGACTAGAGCGTACATCCAAGTTCATGGAAATTCTCAAGTACACGAAGGTTTGTTGACTGCGACATGAATGTTCTGATTCATATTTTCTGTGTTTTATCTTCAACGTAAATAATTTGGCCCCTTTGCTGTAAAGATTTCTCACATGTGTAACTTCCAATTAGAAATGAGCCACAACAGGGGCACCTGGGTGGGTCAGATGTTTAAGGGTCCAACTTGGCTCAGGTCATGATCTCAAGGTTCATGGGTTTGAGCCCTGCATCGGGCTCTGTGCTGACAGCTCAGAGCCTGGAGCCTGCTTCCGATTCTGTGTCTCCCTCGCTCTCTCTCCATCCCTCCCCTACTCACGCTGTCTCGTTCTCTGTCTGAAAAAGAAATAAACTATAAAAAAAAATTTTTTTTAGAAATGAGCTACAACTACTTAACAATTTTAAAAGACTGGTGGAGTGGAGAGGATTATTTCAGACTGTCAGCACAAAGTGTGTTGCTTAAGAAAAGTTTTAGTTTGGGGATACCTGGGTGACTCAGGTGGTTCAGCGGCTGACTTCAGCTCAGGTCATGATCTCATTGTTCATGAGTTTAAGCCCCACATTGGGCTCTGTGCTGTCAGCACAGCGGAACTCACTTGTGATCCTCTGTCCCCTCCCCCTACCTCTCTCCATCTCTCTTGCAAAAATTAATGTTTATGGGACACCTGGGTGGCTCAGTCAGTTAAGAGTCCAATTCTTGGTTTCAGCTAAAGTCATGATCTCCCGGTTCGTGAGATCGAGCCCCAAGTCAGGCTCTTGCTGACACTGTGGAGCCTGCTTGGGATTCTCTCTCTGCCCCTTCCCCAGTCTCTCTCTCCAAATCAATAAACAAACTTAAAACACACAAACAAACAAACCTTTTAAAAGAGTTTTAGTTTAGTCCATTTTCCTTTCATGATCATCACCCAAGACTCATATTTGTATTAATATCTTTTGGGGAGCAGCCTCCTAGAGATTTACCCATGCCGATTCCCATACGTGAAGGGAGGGTGAATCCTCTTCTGAGACTGTAAACTCTATTGAAAACTCCAAGCTCAGCAAAACACGCTCCATATTCTGATCAATAAAAGCTAAGTGATTTCAGGGGGGAAAAAACCCCACAAATACTCGTGCATATTTCTGTCTATTAAGACACCAAGTGCACGCTACTTTGGGCATTTTTTTTTCATACAGTCCTAATTGGCTAGAATTTTATCAAAACACTAGAAATCCCGCAGCTTTATCTTAGACTGTTCTAAAACAGCTCTTGATCGTATTCAGCCAGGATTCATCCTTTGGCACAGCAACAAGACACAGCTCGGACAGACACTCTGCGGGGCTCAGGTCCATTGTCTGGTCCCCACTTCCACCTGGCACGCTCGGGGACACACTGCTGGGAAACCAGCTCATCTCATTAGCATGTCTTTATCCTGAGGCTCCAATTCTGACGCCTCTCCAAGATCACCCAAATCCCCATTAGGTCCTAGGCCAAAGAGAAGATGGTAGCCGACCGTCCCCAGAAGTCTTGAAAAAAGCGATGAAAAATAAAGAGCGAAGAGGCAGGGCAGGCAGCCGCCGTTCAGAATTGGCAGGGGCTCAATCCACTTGGGATCCTCTCTCCCTCCCGGCAAAAGCCGCCTCCACCTGCAACGCTAACGCCACAACCCAGAGGCTGGAGACATTGACCTTCTGAATGATTCTGAAAACACACATAATAACTTCTATACGTTTTAAATACCCTGCGCCCTGTCTGTCCCCCTAGCTATGCCCCTTCCGAAAACCGGGCCTACCGCTACTCTGGCAAAGGGACGACCCGGGTGACTCTGATACTCAGATTCCCAAACATTTCGGTGAAACACTTCTTTCTGCTTCTGACAGCTTCCTGAAAAGCGCCAGCCTGCAAACGCATTCTGGGCCGCCATCCTCCCGCAGGCCATGCAGGCTGCCCCCCTCCACCCCCGACCCCTCCCGGAGAAACCTACTCGAAATCTGCGCCCGCGCCTCCCTCTCCAGAGGCCTGGATGCGCGGACCACGGCCGGCCCCCCGCCACGGGCCCCCGTTTCGGACGCCAGGCCCGCCTCACCTGGCCCTCAGCCTCCCCATGGGGAAAGGGCGCACCGGGGGCCGAGGAAGGGGCCCCCGCGGGCACCCCGCCCCTCCGGGGCCGCAGTCCCCGCCGCTCGCGTCTGTCACCGGGCAGACGGCCTGCAGGCCGCTCGCGTCCTCGGGCGGCAGGTCGGCGGGCCACCGCGGCCACCCCGCCAGCCGCACCGGCCCGCAGACCTCTCCCCGCTCCACCCCCCCCCCCACCCGGCCCCGGGGCGCACCCAGCCCGCGCCCGCCGGCCCTCACCGGACTTGGGCGGGTAGCGGTACACGGAATTGGACGGGATGTCCACCTCCTCCACGCCCGCGTGCTGCCGGCTCGTCAGGGCCCCCATGGCGCCGCGCCCGCGTCGCCCTCGCGCCTCACCGCGGCCGCTCGTCCCGCGCGCGGTGCGGGGGGCGGCGGTCCGCCGCGGCCGGCTCCGCCTCGGCGCTGCGGCTCTGGCGGCGGGGAGCCCCCGGCGCGCCGCGCACCATCCTCCGCCGGGCCCCGCGGCGGCGCCTCTGCCAAGGGGGGCTGCGCGCTGGGCCGGGGGCGCCGCCGCCGCCGCCGCCGCCACCGCCGCCTCGGGCCGCGTGATGTCAGCGGCTGCTGGAGCCGGGGGCCCGCGGCGGCCGCGGCCAATGGCGGGGCGGGGCGGGGCGGGACGGGGCGGGGCGGCGGCGGCGCGCCAGCCAATGGGCGGCGGGATGCGGCGCGAGCGGCTGGCCTCCGGGCGCGGGGAGCCGGCCCGGGGCTCGCGGCCGCGGGCTGGGGCTGTGGGCTGCGGGTGCCCCCCGCGCCTACGCCCGCCGGGCCGGGAGCCTGCTCGCCCTTGCCCCACACCCCTGCAGGCGGCGCGAGGCCGCCGGGCGGAGGAAAGGCTGCTCCAGCCCCGCCCCCGACACCGGCGAGTCGGCGGCCAGAACCCCGCAGAGGGGCGTCCCCAGCCGCCGCGGTCCGAGTGCGCTCCGAGCGGCGGACTGCGTGGCCTTTGCGTCTCTCTCGCCCGCCAGCCCCCGCGCCTCTGCCCCAAAGTGCCCTGCTGACCCCATCTCCCAGGGGTCGGGGGGATTACTCAATGCGGGTGACCCGCCAGGAGGGTATCGCCATCCCTCTCACGTAGCTCCCTTCTAAGCGCCCACCTCTATCCCTGCTCTCTGTCTGTGGGTCCCTGAGGCGGCTCCTGCAGCTTCGGAGTTCAGATCGAGACATCCAACCTCTGATCGCACCTTTTGGGGACTTTGGAGGCCTGCGTGCGCGGAGTCAACGCAGGGGAAGGCGGATGGGGCCAGGCAGAGTAAGGGGCGTCTCTTCATGAAAACACGCAAGACAGTGACAGGGTTGGATGGGCAGAAGGCGGCATTCTAAAAACTCAGTTATAGACATTTGTATTTTAAACCTTTTATTTGTGGGTCGGGTGGGTTTTGTTTTGTTTTGTTTTCTGAGAAGGTGCGCTGATCAGAAATTTCGACTGCTTTTTAAAGTACAGTGTGGAAAGTCCAGTTCTCTTGATTAGGTTTGCAAAGGCTTTTTTTATAGAGTCTAGCTCTTTCCTGGTTACGTTTTGCATTGTTCATTGCCCTCTGTTCAGCAGTAGCCACCAGGCTTGGTGATAAAGGCACCTAGGACAGGGGCGCCTGGGTGGCTTAGTCGGTTAAGCGTCTGACTTTCGCTTAGGTCACGATCTCACGGTTCGAGCCCCGCGTCGGGCTCTGTGCTGACTGCCAGCTCAGAGCCTGGAGCCTGTTTCAGTCTGTGACTCCCTCTCTCTCTGACCCTCCCCTGCTCACGCTGTCTCTCTCTCTCTCTCTCTCTCTCCTAGAAATAAATAAAACGTTTTAAAAAGAAAAAGGCACCTAGGACAAGTTGCTTTGGTTTTCTCCAAGGTCCCTAGGATGGCAGGAACACATCTCCGTTATTTATGTTGACTGATGCTCCAAGGAGGGCTTGAGCTACAGGGCAAGTCCGTGGCCCAGACACGGTGGTGGGCAGCCTTCTCCCAAGCGCCAGGGCTCCCTGGCAGAGCTCAGAGCCTTCCCTGCAGCCCCTGGCCCCAGGCACTAGAAGGCTCCCAGACATATCTCTGGGAGGGAACTGGTGTCCTTCATACTCCATTCCCCACAGGTCCCACGTTATAGTAACAATAAGGTAAAATATAAGTCATGAAAAATCTAGAACCACCTCAAAATAGAAGGACTTCACATCTCAGAGTAAAATTTAGCCTTATGATCTTGGGCTCCATTCAGAAACTTTTGTTCTTCTGCCTTCAGCATTTTGTAAAGGGGATACCTTCCTCTTTATGGGTTTCTCCGCATCTGAGGGTTTCAGTCAGAGCTGGGGTGCGGCGGGGGGGTGGGAGATTGTGGCTCAATAGGGCAGCTCAGGGACACCAGGGTGGCTCAGTCATTAAGCATCTGACTCATGGTTTCGGCTCAGGTCATGAACTCGAGGTTCGTGAGTTCAGTCCCCATGTTGGGCTCTCTACTGGCAGCACAGAGCCTGCTTAGGCTCCTATCTCTCCTTCCCTTTCTGCCCTTTCCCTGCTTGTTTTCTCTCTCTCTCCAAATGAATAAATAAACTTAAGAAAAAAGAAAGGCAGCTCAGTTTTGTTGCTTGCAAAGATCTGTTCTGGCCCCACCTCAGCCTGCTCTGAGTCTGGAAAATGGGTTCATTCCTCATCTTAGAGAACACTCTCGAAGGCTATAACTGGTAATAATCAGGAATCCAGTGTTTGGAAGAGTAAAGAAAAACAGGGCATAGCACAATAGCATTAGTGGGCATTAACTGAACACTTTTTATGTGCCAGGCCCTATTTTAAGTGCTTTTACATATTAAAGCATTCATTCTCCACAGCAACCCTATGAAGTACATGCTATTAACACTTTCGTTTTTCAATGGAAGAAACTGAAGCAGAGGAAAAGCACTGACTTTGAGTAGGACAAATCAAGACCCTAACCAGTTATGTAACTTTAGACTAAGCTCAGGCTGGCCTTCACTGGCTATAAAAGAAGCAATGAGTAAATCAAGGGTTAGTTAAAAAGAAGCAATAGAAGGGGTGTCTGGGTTGGGGCGCCTGGGTGGCTCAGTAGGTTAAGTGTCTGACTTCAGCTCAGGTCATGATCTCACGGTTCGTGGGTTCGAGCCCCGCATCGGGCTCTGTGCTGACAGCTAGAGATTTCAGATTCTGTATCTCCCTCTCTCTGACCCTCCCCTGCTCATGCTGTCTCTCTCTCAGAAATAAATAAAAAACATCAAAACAAAAAACAAAAAGAAGGGGTGTCTGGGTGTCTCCGTCGGTTAAGCATCAGACTCTTGATTTTGGCTTGGGTCATAATCTTGCAGTTTGTGAGTTCGAGCCCCCTGTTGGGCTCTCTGCTGACAGTATGGAACCTGCTTGGGATTATCTCTCTCTCTCTCTCTCTGCCTTCCCCCCTAACCTCAAAAATAAATAAATAAACTTTAAAACTAAATTTAAAAAAAATAGTAAACATAAATAAATAATTAAAAGCAGCAATAAGGGTGCCTAGCTGGCTCAGTCAGTAGATCATGTGACTCTTGATCTCAGGGTCATAAGTTCAGGCCCCACTTTGGATGTGGAACCTACTAAAAATTTTTTCTTTAATTAATTAATGTTTTCACAAAGGGGTCAACAAGCCTCAGATCAAACTTTCATCGATTCAGGTCAGTTTGTACCACCAAATTTAGGGTTTTCCGAACTTCTGGAGTTTTGGGAGTTTCAGATAAAAAAGAAATCATGGAGATTGGGGCGCCTGGGTGGCTCAGTCAGTTGAGTGTCTTGACTCTTGATCTCAGCTCAGGCCATGATCTCATAGGTCATGAGTTTACTGGCAGCCCAGAGCCTGCTTGGGATTCTCTCTCTCCCTCTCTCTCCCTGCCCCTGCCCCACTCACACTGTCTCTGTCTCTCTCAAAATAAATAAATAAACTTTAGGGGCGCCTGGGTGGCTTAGTCGGTTAAGCGTCCGACTTTCGCTTAGGTCATGATCTCGCGGTTCGTGGGTTCGAGCCCCGCGTCGGGCTCTGTGCTGACTGCCAGCTCGGAGCCTGGAGCCTGTTTCAGTCTGTGACTCCCTCTCTCTCTGACCCTCCCCTGCTCACGCTGTCTCTCTCTCTCTCTCTCTCTCTCTCCTAGAAATAAATAAAACATAAAAAAAAATTTTTAATAAATAAATAAACTTTAAAAAATAAGCAAATGAATAAAGAGACTTTCTGTGAATTAACTGGGGTAAAGTCCCACTTTCTATGACATAATCACATAATGTTAAGGTTTGGGAAAAGAGAACTTCAGCCAGTGCCCAGGGCAAAGGAGAGAAAGCTATGCAACCAAGCCTTGGAGCAGCCACCTCTGGGAGGCCAAGCCTGCACTCCTGTCTGGTCCTTCCTTGGCGCCACTAGGCTCCCTTGCCAGAGATCTGGGCCAGGGAAAGGGCCTGAGGGAGAAGTCGGCTCAGACAAGAGGAAAAATCCAGAAGTGATTGCCATCAAGAGAGCCATAAAAATGCTTTTAACTTGAATAAACGGTTTGGTGACGGGTGCAAAGCAGTGAGTGGGGAAATTACATGCAAATACCATGCATCCTTTGTGTAAATAGCCTCACAGCATCCTCTCTATTTGCATGCTACAGATATTGCCCTTGGGAAAATCCCCACAGAGAATCCAGCATTTAAGGGTCTCAGGGGTTTCCTCTAAGCATCCACCCAAGGCTGGGAGGTAAAAGCCACATTTTATCACACCGTACCCCTTCTCAACCTTGGGTCTAAGGGAGAAAGGAGGAGCCAGCGGGGGAAGCACAGGGACGAGTAATTTCGAGGTCAGCCGGTCCCTTAGAGCTTCCAATTTGGTTCGTTTGGGCTGTCCTGATTTCGGCTCGGATGTGCATTTTCCACCTTTGTAACACATCCACTCATTTGAACGATTCTCACAGATTCCTATAACGGGAAGGAGAGAGAGCCTGCCAGTGAGAAGCTGACAGCTGCTGCTCTGTTTGTAGCACAGCATTCCCCAGATAGCAGGGGAAAGGGGTGGGGGGATGCCTCTCGGGACCCAGAGGAGCCGAGACAGGCCCCTTATTGGCTGCTGGTTTGGCCATTCTGTCCCTAGTAGGGCAATAGGAAGAATACAGCTCTGGCTGTTCTGAGCGAGTGCAGGGTCTCTCCAAAAGGTGGGGTCCCATCAGCAATCCCTGACCCCTGATCCCTCTTTAAGTCCTTGGGCCGTGGCTTCAGTGGATTAAAGCTAAAGCAACCAGAAGAAAATTTCACGGGCTACCCCGGAATCAGCAGGCTAGGCTGACACTGACAGAGGGGTCCAATCCTAAATGCTTTGGGACCCTGCAGATGGTTCCTCTGGCCACCTTAAGGCACCCCATTGAGGAAAATAACCTTGTCCATTAGGAAATCAGCAATCAGGCTGTCATATTTGCTTCTTGCCAAATGTGAAATCCTCATTGTTAATTTCCTCCTCAGCTGTGCGCGCCTCACAAAGGAGAGCTGTTCAAATGGCCGCGGACTTCGGTTGGGTTCGTAGCTT